AAACGGGCTGGAGAATGGTCGAAACTCTCTTTGAAGGTGTTCATATGATAATGACCTGCCCTATAGGCAGTCCTCAGTTAAATAACTTGAACAATAGGCTGGTAAGAAAATAGCTATACTGCCATTTAAAAATGCCCAGATGATAAGCCAACCACAGCAACTTTAAAACACGAATAGGACACAATACTGATTATTGAACAGGACACTACATGGAACAGATAAAGGCACATTTCCATTACTTCCAGTCTCACATTGCTGTTGTTAATAATTCCATTTCTGACAAGATTTCCATTGATTTCAGGATGAACATCAATATTGTATTCTCTCCCTGTGTTTAACTGAGATTATTTTACCATTCACCGCTGTGTCAGTAGCAGGAGATGAACAGCAGCACGAGTTGTTTCATTACATGGATCTGCTTTAACAATGAATTTTCTAAATGAGTGCAGGCTTTACTCCTGTAAAATGTCTAGTCAGATATTTACACTGGTCAGATTTACACTGATATGTGCTTTACAAATTTTGTTTAACTGCCCAGGTAAAAAGAGCTATATATTAAGGCTATATATTTTTGCATTTGCTGCTCTGGAGTCAAACTAAAGCAACAGAAAGCAAACTTATTTTTACATTCAAAACTTAATCAAAATTAAGTGAGCTAGTAATAAGTGACTTTAGAATATTGTGAGCAAATTAGAATATGACTTTTCTAAAATGTAAAAGATTTAAAGACTACGTTTCTATGCACTAGGGATCTATAGGAGAAACCTGCTTGTGCTTAGGCTGAATTAAGACTGGTGTGGATCATGGGTTTGTACGATACTTTAAGGCCCTTCATGGAAATGGGCAAGATTGAATGGAACAGCTGAACTGATAGCTGAAGGTGGCAATCCTGCCAGCTTCAAATAGACATTCATTGTGGCTGGGTGACGGATTTAGAAGCCAATGCTCTAGAACTCTCACCTAATTGACCAAAGTAGCTGGGATTAGTGTATGTTTGTAGTTAAATGTGGAATCATCTGTGATGAAGCCTAGATGCTAGTGCAAACTCTCAGCCGCAGAAATAAGCTCTCTGGTTTTGCTAGGAAAATGGTCGTAAAACAAATGTTTCTCCCCTGAGCAATGACTGCTGTGAAGAGAGATGGTTTTCACAGCAGTTCTACATACAGAGGTCAGCTGAGGAAGTGGAAAAAAGAAAGCGTTATAAAAAAAATCAGTATTTGGGAGTGTGCAAGAGAAGCATCACGTGAAAAGTTAGTTTTTGAGCAGGAGCTGAAGACAATATGACTTTTTTGTAAAACACACTCCCTATCTCCAAGGATATAATTCAGAAATTATACAACAAAACTGAAGGAGTTTAAAATACAGACGGAGATCCAATTTGAGAATAATTGCCATCCCTGTGGAGGATATGTAAGGTAATATGATTTGCTTTACAGTTGAGTTCTTACAAGGCTTTTTTTGAGCAGAAATATCACCTAACCTTATTGGGGCAGGGAGCAACACATGTCTTTCCCATACTCACACCCAAAAAGCACTGGTAAATAGCTCTGGAATTATTTTTATTAGCGTTGACTGTTCACTGAAGACTCCAGGAACCTTAGGGAAGAAGAAGAAAATATCCCCAGATTCACGATTCTAAATATGATGTTTCCTGAAGCAGTCTGAAAGAGTCAAGGTTTGGAAGCTGGTAAAATGAAGGTATGAAGAGTTTACTTCTCAAGTATCTAGAAGTTAAACCTGAATGATAATTATTTTAAAGACTTGGAACTACGTGGTGTATAATTCTGCCAAGAGGGATAAGATGAAATAAGGTGAGAATTGCTTTTTTTTTTTTTTTTCATTTTGTTGTGAGAAAAAAATAACTGGCATATCAAATACCACAAAACTCAATGAATAAATATGGGATCTGACTGAAAGCTGAGAATCGTGTTATGAAAACATAAGAAACAAGGGAGGAATGGAACTGTATGGCTGAATGCTGAGAACAAATTAACAGATTGACTTAGTCATGAAAAACTACTTTTTCATTTGTTTGAAGGGCTGGAATGATACTTTTGAGTATGTGTACATATAAATAAATAATTATACAGAAAGAACTTAAATAATAACTTTCTTCTTAAGTAGAATAACTGATATTAATTTTGACTTAAAATGAAGTTCTAGCATAAACTATATGCTATGGAATTGATATTTTATTCAGAACGACTTTACTAAAAAAAAAGAAAGAAAGATCTTAACTGAAAAAACACAGATGCGTTAATTCAGGAGTGTATTATATTTAGAATCATACCCTAACATCAGCTTGTCTTCAGTGTGATTTGCATAGTTTAATTTTTATGTGCTGAGGTTATATTTGGTGTGAAGACATACAAGCAATTTCCTACTTAACCCTCCAGTTTTGTGTTCATTGGAATGGAATTTATAAAAATTGCTTATAGAGTAGTAGTGCTTCTTTTCCAGAGGATTAAAAAAAAACAGCCAACCTGAAAACAAAGCCTTCAGTGCTGTTTGACTTGTTTTTTTCTGTGTATTTCTTCACACTGTGTTTTGTTTGTTTGCTTGTTTTTTAAGCTTTCAGGGATCTACCTTGCCATCAGCTCTGGTGGTCTATAATCTTGGTAGCTGTTGGCAGAAAGGTATTCGTGCTATTGTAAACATTTATAAAAGAAGCATTCTCAATATAAAAACACCCATACAATGGGCAATTATAAAACAACCACTTTAACAACTTAAAAACGAACTTTTGATGTGGTTTAAGTGGCTTTCAGGGTATTAGGTAACTAGATTACTGTATGCTAATGAGCCCTACAAGTTTTTGTAAGACCAATTTTACTTTAGGTGTGGTTGTGGCATTACAAACCAATCAATACAACCCTACAGACTGCTAAGAATAACTGGTTTTCTTTACTCATTCCAGTCTAGTATTAAATGGGGAGATTGGTGGCCCTGCCTGTGGCAGGGGGTTGGAGCTTCATGATCCTTGAGGTCCCTTCCAACCTGGGCCACTCTGTGATTCTATGATTCTCATTAAACGATTACAAACTTGCAACGTTGATTTGTCTTTAGCTGAAGGAAGGGCTTAAAAAAAAATTAAAAACTAAAATTAGAAGTAATGCACATTTTCACTACAGAGCCAACACATTTATAGCTCTGGAATTCTGCATTTGATCAGATTCTACACTCCAGATATTCCACACATCACAGTTACTTTCGTTACAATGTTGTCTTTTTTTTTTTTTTTTTCCTTTAACTTTTCTTTTCCAATTAGTTTCAAGCCTAAAATACCATTAAAATCAGCTGTGTGGCATCCTTCTTCCTTTGCTCAGTTATGTCATTAGCACATTTTAGCACACGTTGAGAAGGATTGGCATCTGTTATGTAATACTTCCTCTTTTATTCTGCCAAGTGCCATAAAAATCAAATTTCTAAGAGCTCTGGGTTTAGGAGTTCTCTACACTGTGGTGATATTTCTATCACTGTAACAGTGTTGTAATACTATGGTAGCTATGATAACAACGATAAGCTTTTGCAGTAGGGAGACCAATACCTCATTATTTTTTGATGTAGATAGGGATATCCATTTACCCCACTGCTGACTGCTTATTGTAGTTGATGAACTTCACAAATTCCAATCTTTCTGGTGAATTTGGTTTTTAATTCCTATTTTACCAGTGTTCATATTTTAATAAAATCTGAAAAAAAAATCTTTACTGTTTATGTCTTCACAAATTCGTTTGTCAGATTAGGCATCTCTGTAAGCATATCCCAGGTTTTAAGCAGTAACTTTCATCTTGATTGATGCATTTGCTTAAACAACAATTCTGTACATTTTTAAATTAAAAAAAGAAAATGAAATTCACGTCATGTATCTGATGACATCCAGAAGTGTGTTCTCTAAGTGGACCACACACATTGGCATACATAGCAGAAGTCGAGATTCTTCATCTTTTCCAACAAGAAAATTTTCCTACGTGTGTTTTTTTTCCACTGTCATGGTAATTCTTCTTTCTCATCCAGTGTTCTGTGGGAAGTCAATTTTATCTGTTTCATCAGTTATTACATCAGTCAATTATAAAAATTACAATGATTTTATACATGAGGAAGAAGGACGTTAACGTTCTTCTTCCTGACAAAGCAGGGCAGGAGGGCATATATGAGATCTTACTGTGCCTTGCTGTTGCTGGCGTGTTTTACAGAAAAGTGTGAATGCAGTGTTTCTTTTAGACAGCAAAAATGTAGCTTTTCAATTCCTTTTACATATATATATATGAGGATTTTATAGCCTTGTACTATAAACCAATTATGCTTCATATCAAATAAATACGGAGGTTTTTTTTCTGTCGAGAACAAAATGGAGAAAGTAGTCAGAAATGAAAAGAGCCTTTAGCAAAGATATACATAACTTGTTTACATTCACTGTTAGCACTTTCATCAGTGCTCTAAAAGTTCTTCAGTTAACATAGGTCCTTTTCTGGATTTTATCACATCATTTGCCAGTGGCTGACATCTTACAAAGGCATTCTCTGTAGCTAAACACATCTCTGAAAAATCAAGAAACCCTTGCCAATTATTTTTTTTCAGCCAATTCTGAGGACCAAATTGCAATCTGAAAGCTCTCAGCATATTTCAGCTAATTTTAAATTAGGAATGTGAATCTTTTCCTAAACTCATATGAACTTAAATGGCCATTTGCAATTATGGATGCTGACTGCTAAATGGAAACACATGTTTCAATGCAAAAATCCTTCTTATCACATTCAGACTTCCTGAAACTCAATTACGTTTTTTTTTACTTCCATTATAAACCATTTTTACTCTCTGTCTCTTTACATGTACAGTTTTTATTTTTGTTGTTATTTTAATCTGTTATGCTACTTTTCATTATGCTAATTCCCTTTTTCATTGCTGTGCTCACAAAATAATTGTAGTTTTAATCAAATAATTGTAATCTTTATATTAACCAAAATATCATGAATTTATTTCCCTGTTTTTACAGGAGAGGCAGTGAAAGGGACAACACTGCAGACTTTTCTGACACTGGACAACTGCACCACCAGAGTTGTGCCAGAGCAGGCAAAGAACAAGAGGTTATGAAGGTGAGGAAATCTTCATGTATCTAGGAGAGATATTGCCATTTGAACCTCAACATTGACAAAATTATGTTTGACTAGAAGATTACAGAATGGAAAGCTAATATTATTTCTAGGTAAACTGCTGCAACTGCAGCAAAATCGTGCTGTTGTCTATGGGGTTTCAGTTACAAGATAGGTTTTCTACATCAGAAAGCAGGTGCTTCATTAATATTTTTGATGCCAAATTTTTAAAGACAGGCAACTGAGTGTCAAAGAAAACTTTGGCACATGTTTGTACAGCTGTATTCTGTCTCTTTGTTCGTGTCACACTTTGATGGTGCCTTCTGCCAGGTAGGGCTAGAAGTGGCACACTGGCATGGTCTCTTTTATTCAGTGTAACTGAAGAACAGAGTAGTGAGACCTTCTGCTCCTCCTCAAATCTGCAAAAATAAAAGCCCTTTCAGTCTTACTGAATAAGTAAATATATAAGTAAGAATAAGTAGCCTCTTATTGCTGAGCTTGTTTAAATCAGCCAGCTGAGAATCTAAGCTCTGATCCCATCATAACTTGAAACATAGAGTTTCTGTGATTTTATTTTATTTCTATTATTTTAAAACACATGCAGATGAATTGCAGTCACAGAGCAGTTTCTCCTTGGACTCTAAGAGTGAAAACATGCCCATGTGAGAGAACGAGAACATGTACTCACGGGCATTCAAATTATAACCAGGAAAAAAGAACGATAAACCACAGATCCAGCTCAACAGTATATACATAGAGCTGCCAACAGCCAAGTATATTCACTAAAGGTGGTTGGGAATATATACAGTACAGAAATCATAGCACTAGCAAAAAGAGGAATTTCTATTTATTTATTAATTAACTTACAGAAATAACCACTGTAAAAGAAAAAGGGATACTAATAAAGTTCTAGAATCTTTATGTGTCTAAGAAAGTGCCAGAATCATCCAGCTGTTCCAGTCTTCTGAAATAAATTATTCCAGATCTTTTACCATATAGAAAAATAAGGATTTTCATTTTTATTGCAGGTTTCTTTGAGGCATCTCTTCAAGGGTCAGTTTTTAATGACATTCTGCAAGTACACAATATCAAGGCCTTCTTTTGGCTGGTAAATATATCACACTTGGATTCCTTTTAACATGGGCCTTGCTGATATTTTCTCCCTTTTGTATCTTTTATGTCTGACCAGAAAACGATAAATTATTTCTAATTTATAGCTTCATTTAATAGCAGTTCATGGTTTAATGTGCTGGAATTTAATATGGGATGATTGGTTGAGGTCTAGCACAAAAATAATTTGTTTGTCTTTACCCAGGGAAGTGGGACATCTGTTGGAGTACCCTGCCAGTGGACATCTCAAGTGGCCAGCTAACCTGCTGGGGAACGGATCATCCTGCAGAGGGTGAATCGTCAGCTTACAAATGAAAGTCACCCAAGATGACATCCCAAGTACTACTGGCAGACATCATACATGCTGAAATCAAAGATGAAACTGTCTAACAGTAGGAGTGGGTGGGCTGGTTTATATCTTTCAGGTAAGGACTTGGATGTTTATTCTGGTTGCAGTTTGCAATATTTTTTGTTGCAGAGCCTGTCAGATTCTGACAAAAATCTTTGTCAAGTTTAGTCGTAGTTCATAAGACAGTAAATAGAAATCCTGTCTATGATTAAAGACTGACAGGATCTAACAGTCAACAGCCTAAATAAAGGGAAAGACTGTCAAGGGTCAGTGGGAGGGGATTGCGGGGAGTGGGGGGCTGAAAAAAAATGCATTTGGATATCTTAGCCAGGATGAGAATGAAGTGTCACTTTTCCAGGAGCTAAGGACATTCACTATCTGTAGGACAGGATGCCAGAGCTTTGTGGTAAGACAGAACAGTAGTTGCTGAGAGAAATCTCTGATCTTAGCTCATTGTCCCTATTGCTCAAGCAGTAGAAAAAAACCTCATCTAAGCAGGAATTTTTACAGCCACGTGAAGGAGTGCTTTAATAACAAAAATTTCCATGACTTTTTTTCTTTCAGGTTATATAAAATAAAAAACAATATCAGCTAGTAAGGAAACAACTCCAGAAATAGAGGGAGAAGACACCAGATTCCTGAACATAGTACATGCCAAAGGTGTGCTATTCTTTGGTAACATTTAATGTTGGGTGTCACAAGATAGATCTCATAGGCGATTGGTTCTGAAGGCTACAGATAATTCGTGTGGGAACATGATAAAATATGAGAGTAGAAATATTGCTCTAACAATTCAGGACTGACAGATAATCTTAGAACAAGTGGGGCAGTTTTTATCATGGCAGAAATAAATCTGTGTACCCAGAGACAAGGCATAAAACCTGATGGTAATAAATACAGTAGAGAAATGAACTTGCTGTATGAAAGAAGTGGAGGATAAGAACAGAAATAGAATGTAGGCTTGCAAGTTTGTAGAGAAGGGCAGAAGTTTCCATGGGAAAGAGAAAAAAGGAAAAAGACAAAAATCTTCAGAGGTAAATATTGAGAAATAAATCGGTTGCTCCTTCAATCCACAGTCTCCATCTACTTCTAGTTGATTCTGCTCCTTTTACAGCTGTCTTCTTGAATAGTAGCAGCTGCTAACAGGGCTTAGATATAATTTATCCCATTTTCTCATTTCTTATAGAAGTTTGGCCTTCATTAGAAATCATGACAAAGATGACAAAAGAGAATGCTAGAAATGCACAGGATTGCCATCTGGATTTGGGTCTGTGCAAGAAGCGAGTTCAGAGAAGAAATGACAGGATTGTCAATAAAGTAAATGCAAGAAATAAATTGTCAGGAACAGGTGGAAACTGTGGGGTTTGGGTAATGAAAGTAATATTGCTAAAACATGAAATGTAACATATTTGTTTGATATTTCAGATGCTGCAGGAAGAGACAGCAACATCATGTTAAAGAAAACGCTCCCGGAAGCTTTCAGTGGAAGTCACTGCAGAGAGTGGAAAAAAGAAAAGAGAAAGAAAAACCAAAGTATATAAGCTCACTGAAGGTATCTTGTGGTACCAGTAGTGTTTTGTAGAATATTTGACTAGTGGGATGCATATGCGGAATGGGAGATTTGGACTTTATCTGGACGGTGTGTTGAAGCATGGAAATACTTGTTCTAAGTCAATGTAAGCATAAATGACATGAAAAAGTTTAAGAAATGAGGAACGTCTTTTTAAAAAATGTCAGTATATCCAGAAAGGATATAACCAATCAAAATATAAAATAGCTATCCCTTCCCCCACTTACAAAAAAATAATGAAAAGATAAAAATGTGGTGACATAAAATTCCACTGACTCAAATAGCCATGCTCAGACGGTGGTAACAAAACCCAATTGTAGATACCACTTAATGAGTGAGGAAATTCAGCCTGTAGCGTTTCTTGGGATCGTTGGTTTTTTTTTGGAGTTTTTGTTTTGTTTTGTTTTGAGCATTTTGGTTTTCCCATAGGAATTGCTAATGACAAGAACCTGACTGCAAGTTCCTGCTTTCTAGGGGCTGGAAATATTCTAGACTTCCAAGTTTGCAGTGAGGTTTTCCTAAAACTCCACTAATTCAAGGAAACTCCAAGAGCAGCAGTGACCTTTAGTCTAGAAACTGAGATGTGAGAGATCTAGGTAATCTCCTCATGGCTCTTGCAGTGAGCTTCCCTGTTTTGTTTGCCAAATAATAACACACAAATTTTAACTCTCTCTCTTTTTCTTTTGCCATGGAAAAATAGCCATTTTTCTACTGGCTAATCATAAGATGGTTCTGAAAGGGAAGTTGGCTCTACTTCTCTTTTGAAATTGGGTTATTGCAAAAAGACAAATGGCAACATTCTCAAAAGCAGAAATAGAATAAGACTGATTCTGTAGCCAGGTGTCTAAAGATGAAAACCACATTCTAGCCTATTACAATTTTGCAGCTCATCTAATTGTCCTTGATTAAACCTGCATTTGTTTTCCGCATTGAAAATGTGTATTTCAGCAGGCTTACATCTAAGAAAGTTGTGATTTTAAACTAATGAATAGCATTACAGTTCAGTCTTCACTGTTCTAGCCCATGGTGTAAATCTGCACTAAGAGCTTGGCCAATCTGTTATACACAGGACAGTTGGACTTTGTTGGCTTTTTATTCAACTGTAGCTTTGCCCCAAGCACAGAACTGTTACATTGCTGCCCCAGACTGTAATATGAAAGATTAAAAATCTACAATCTGCCTCCCTGCTGCACCCTACTCTAAATAATTACCAGGCCAATAGCTCAGGCTGTTTTCACCCCATACATATGGACTAGAGCCAAGAGCCTGTTCCTGTCACTTTGCTTATCTCACTGTACTGCTCTTTCCACAGTTGGAAGAGAAAGAAGAGTAAAATATCGTTTCTCTCCATATAATCTGACTCACAGCCAAATTAAGCTGCATTTTAATCAATTTCTTAATGATGTTTGAAAAAATTCACTATAAAATGCAAATAAATTGTTAACATTTTTAATGTTTCCAAAGAGAACACTTTGAAAGCTCTTAATATTTTGGTGACATTAAGTAAGAACGTCACGGAAGACCATCTGCAGTTAGGACCTAGAATCCAGGTATGAAATCTTGAATGTTATTTTGCTTGTGCCCCAGGCTCTTGGCAAGCCACTTGTTCTGTTGTTTAGGAAGATTATCAGCAGATTTTTTTTCCTTTCTATAACACAGTGGCTTTTTCTGGTGTTAATCACCTGATCAAATATTGAACTCCACTGATATGGCCTGGAGATATTTGGCTTTACTGCCTTAGGTTTTAGAGAGAAGCTAGTCTTTCTCCCCTTAAGTTTTCCTCAAATCCAGGAATTTCTCTTTAAATCAAACAGAAAAGTGCATTTGGGTGTTCTGCAGCGAGGCTAAAGTCACTTTGTTCACAGAGTGCATATGTAAATGGAGATATTTTAGCATTCATCTCATCCTTCACGGTAGGTATATCACTCAAAGTAAGCCTACGGTTACATGTAAACTACTAATCCCCCAGAAAATATTCTCTCTTTTTTGCAGAAGTCAGTACTGCCTCAATTTAATATGTTCCATATTTTTAATCAATAACAAAACAAAATAAAGGTAATTTGTTTATGTTTGACGCTTTGAGTTAAAAGTTTTTTGTACTTGTGCACAGATTGCCTCAGAAAGTAAAAATAAAAATAAGGCTATCACTTCAAAGGAAAGTCAGCTTTAAAACGTGTTTTAAGTTACAAATGGCAAATGTATGAATAAACTGTTGACTTTATGAAAGAATTAGTTTCTGAAGTTCTTCAGGTCTTTGAGGTTTCTCTGCAATTCTATCATTCTCTTTGGTATCTTTTCAGAAAGTAATTAAATATGTCTCTATTCAGGCAAGCTCCATAAGCCCGTGCCTGACACACTGAGATGTGCTTTGCAATGGGGGATTAATGCTGAGTGACGTGTTCCTATATCTTGCACACAGCTGTTATATTTCAGTGTCAGATTTTTCAGGCATAAACCCATCATTTAGCAATCTCTTGGTTATTGCTCCTTGTGTTTGTCTCTCAGTTTGAGTTTCTAAGCACAAAAGCCTGCTTTCCTTTTAGCCCATTTTTAGGACTGCTGTCCCACATCGATACGTATGTAAACACAGCCCTAGGATCCAGATGGTCAGAATGCATGCAATATCTGTACTTTCACTGTGCAAGTGTGAATGTGGCAGAGGTTTCGTAGTGTCTAGATTAAAATGGAGCTTATTTCTTCATTCAGTTCACGATACCAAAATCTAAAGATGATGATAAATAAATAAATAAATAAATAGAATACCAAGTTAATACAGATTGCTTCCAATTTATTCATTTAAAATGAATGGTTATGGTAAAACTGCTCAGTGTGAAAGTATTTTTCTTAAGAGCTCGTTATTTCCAGCAGCAGTTTTTGCTTTTCCTATATGAATATATGAAGGCAATTATGAAATGTACGTATCTATTTATATACCCACTAATGTGTTATTGAAAATACTGTGAGGAGGCTTTCCTGTCACTGGATGTCTATTCTTTTTTTTCTAATAATAATATGCGCAATATATATTGCAGATAACTCCAATTTGTTCTTCTTTCTGAGCAGTTTGGAACGTTAGCCTCTAATACTTCCCTCAATAGTACCAGTCAGAGTGAAAATAGTTGCTGCATGTAATGGTTTCTACAACATCCAGTCCTGATGGAAGTGTTCCTGCTGACCTCGGGAAAACTCAGCAGGCCCTGTTTTTGGGGAGTTCACTTGGTCACAAAGCTGATAGCACTGGGATTGTTGATCTGTCAACACAAAATGCCATACTCCAGCCACAGCATAAGTAAGTACATAAGTAGTAAGTACATAAAATGAGTGCGTAGTCTGACTGAGGGGACCAAGATGTGCAATAACATCAAAAAGAATTTGAAACAGGACAAATGAGCCTGTGGTCTGAGACTGCAATCTGAAGGGAAAAAAAAAAGCAAAAAACAACCAACAACCAGGAGGCCATACGCTGGGCAGCTATGAAAATCTGACATCTGAATAGTTTGGGGATCTGGAATACCACCTTTAGTTCTTCCAGTTGGAGCACACAGGATGACAGATGGCTTTGTACATCTACCTCATGCTGCAGTGCTCAAGCTTTTAAGAGTGAAGAAATGGCACTTGTGTAGGCACAAGAATAGAGTGAAGGATACAGGATGCACATACGGACAAAATATTGCCTGGCATCACAGATGGGTCTAATACCCCAAGGGATTTTGTTAGGAGAGAGAGTGGGTTGCTTGCAAGAGACTGCAAGTTGGAAGCCAAGGGTGACAACTGAGCTGGTAGAGCATTTCCTTAACCCTCAGAGCGTAATCACAGCATCCCCCCCAAAAAAATAGAGCATAAGAAGGATGGAGCAGCCAGGTTTAGTTAACAGCCTAGTGATCACTGGTTAACAGTGATGAGGCAGGTCCAAGGCCAAGACAGCAATTAAAAAAGGCAAGGAAATACGACAAACACGGAACACCTGTATCATAGGTCAGGCAAGGGCCAAGGGTACATGCCTCAGAGTTATTGCAGCTCTCAAGCTAGAGCATGCATGGGTAGAGTACCCAGAAGAGATTTCCACATTTGTTCTCTACAGGTTTACTAATTTCATGGCACTCAAGTCTAAGCTTACACAGCTGTACCATATCAAAGCAGACCATGAGCAGGGGCATCTTCCACTGGAAACAGAAGAAAAGATTGAAGAGGAGGATTACAGAAGGAGGAGGCTATTGACTGATTCAGGTAATAATGTCCTGTTATATTTAAGGCACTGATGGTTTTGGATTCCCCTTTGATGGTGTGGGGTTACTGGAATGTTATGTGTTTCTCAGTGAGTAGAATAGACAATGCTGTTTAAGGGAACTGTAACTTTGTTTGACTCCTTGCTTCTTGATTCTAAATGGTTAAAAGGGGTTCACTTTTCTCTGTGATGAAGACGTTTCCTGACTCAAGAAGCAGTGCATCTGTCAGTAGTGTCTAAGAGGTCCTTTGAAGGGCTGCAGTGTAGATCTTTAAATGAACTGTACAAACTTAATCACAGGGGCATGGTACATCAGGAAGGAACAGTAGATTATACACAAGTTAACAGGGCCTACATGAGCTGTACTGAGACTGCAATAATCAGGGAAAAAATACCCTTTTGTTCATGAATGCATAAGGACACAACAAGCAAATTCTTGAAGCTGTGAGTCTTTTCCAATTATACCACAAGCATGTGTAGTAACACCTTGGGCTTCAAGTCCACACTGAGGTACAGCTACAGGAAGAAGCAGAAATAGCTCCTGATTCTCTATCAGTGGGTAGTGTATGCGATATCTTGATGTAGAGTTGATCTGACTGAACTAAGTATCCAAACAAATGTGTATCGCTTGCCCCTCATCCAGAAACAAAGAGTATGATGACATGTATCTTCAAGGATGAATGAGAAGCCCTTTAGGGAAAATCTTCAGATTTTTACCTTTGGAGTTTTCTGCGGGGATAAAGTGACACAA